ATCGTTTGATATTGTTTTCGGGAGATTCTAGTATAATTCTAGTATACAGTATGTTGCCCAGTATCCGGACGGTACCAGTATCCGGACACTTGAAACAAAAACTCAATTTTTGAGGCGCCCTTTTCAGTTCTCGGTAAACGAAGTATTTCGAATGAAAGCTGAACATTTCAGCTTTAAGATGAAAGTTTTGGCGATTTGAAAGCTTGCGAAACAGTCGCAGAAGACGCCGTTCTGTTCAGGTGAGTAAACTTTTCATGGCTAATATTTACGCTGTTTACTGCGCAGTAAAATTAGTGCTGCTCAGAAAAGGGAGGGTAATGTGTGATATTTTCAAAGAAACTGTTTCATTTTTAAACTGAAGATACTTAAGGAAGTCAGGTTTTCACAAAGTTTATTAATTCTTCTTGAAATTCGATTTGTTTGGAATAACGGAGGCCAGAAACATTAACTAAGTTTTGATGTCATGTGCCCAGTATCCGGACAGTTTTTTCTTTGCTGTACAGAATCGATGAATAAGCTGTGTACATTATCCGGTTAAGATTTATTTCATATCAGTAACTATAATTAAAGCCTAGGATATATGATATAGTCGTAAAATGTAATTCTACTCAACTCCCTACGGAAATTTTCTTCACTCATTCAGAGGCGACTTGATTTCGTGTGCACGGCTTGTTTCGCGTGACTGCATTTTCTATATATAACTGAAAGCGTCTGAGTTGAGCCTGGAATTCTCATACTTTCCCCACTTGTGACTACTAGAATGGGGTTGCAACGGTCTGAAAAATGTCACAAAGGGATTGAGAGATGTGAAAGAAGGACGAATTAGTGCTAGAAAAGCAGGCTTATTGTGGGGACTGAGCATGAAGAAATCAACACTGCAGGTCAGACTAAATAGGAGAGTGAACTTTGACCGTCGTGTTGAGGTCCCTTCCCCAAGCTTTTTTTTTGTAAATAAAAAATGAGGAAAGAAAGTAGTTTGCAGATTGGCTAATTGAGCTTGCAAACTGCGGCTTCGGCATGTCCACGGATGCCTTCCTTAAATCAGTGAAAAAGTCCCTAGACAAGGAAGTAAGAATCACGCCATTTTTAAAACAGCCGCTCGCTTTCCCCACCATACCCCAGTCATTTGTTATGTTTTATTTCACGATGCTAGGTTATATTTTTGGAATCGATTGCCAGACTACTTTGCAAGTGCAAGAGAAGCTTATAAGTCGCTTGCCTGTCGAAATTTATGTACAATTACGTTGTTATTGTTGTGTCCGGATATTGGGCCAGCTGTCCGGATACTGGGCAACATAGGAGCTCTGCAAAAATATTAATTTCGCGATGGAAACAAAGGCAAAAAAGTTAAGCTGTCTTTTGTCTTATTAAGGACTAGATAGATTTTCTCTGGGCCAAATTTCAGAGCTCTTGCGATTAACAAAGGAAAGTTATTGCAATCTTAAAGTGAAGTGTCCGGATACTAGGCAACAAACTGTAATTGAAGATACCTAGGCACTCAGTTTAGTTTTGACCAGTTCAATCAGGAGTAGAATATGGATAGATGGCCCCAAAAAGATTTTTCGTTTCTTTCTCTACCTTTATGTCGTTACTGTTTTATGGGACAGGCTTTCCAATTCGATAAATCTCTCTCATTAAAAACGCAACCAGTTTACGATGCTATCGCACAGTATCAGCTCGTTGGGCGGAATTTTCTCGGATGCCCTTTCTTACTTTATCTTTTTAAATTTTAAAGTGTTCACGTAAAAGGTTTTGTTTTGATTTTTTAATTCAAATTTTCAGTTCTTTACAATATCTTGAGCCAAAGGTAAAGTACTGACGTATCGTCGAGATTCCCTTTCTTCGTGGCGAAGGAATGTGAGCTCGTAATTTTATTCAGTTACTAGAAGCAAATTTCTTTGAGTAAAACCTTATTTGAAAGCAGCTAGTTCACGTCTTTTTGTCAACGAATTTTGCAGTTCAGCGCTCAACCGACTGACCTAGTCCTAACAATCGCTTTAACGGGTAGAAACGGCTAGAGGAAGTTTTTTAAAGTTTTATAAATATGATTACTCAGTCACTGACTGTAAATAAAGAAAGCCACTCAGACCGTTTCTTGAAAGTCTAGCAGAATATCTATGCAATAAAATGGTTTCCAAGAATTTTGCAACCAGAAGGTGAAGAATAAGAAGAAAATGCCTGACAGTATCTTTTCAATTTCTTTTAATACAGCAAATCCTTTTAAACTATGTCAAAAAGTACACCAGCATCGCTTTCACGAAGGTTTCCACCAGAAACATTACCTTTGGCAAAGGATTTTTGTGGACTCAGTTTTAGAGTAAACAAAAACACGAAGAGAAGCTGACAAGTACATTGGCGTCCCGATGTTTTCCGCCAGTCTTTTCCGTGTCACCGGTTTTGCGCACCTTTCTTTTCCTTTGGGTCTTCTAGGATGTAAAGAAGAACATTTACAACGTTAACAGCTTGAAAAAAACTTTTTAGCGCTAGCACAACGCATGCTATAACAAATGTTTCATTTAAGCTGAGAAAAATGGAAACAACTTAACTTTCACGATTCTTAGATGATTTCAGGCTAAAATTTACGAAAAGCATTTCATTTCAGCTATTTCGGTGTTCCAATTAAACAAGCTATAACTTTGTGCTTTTACACTTAAAAAAGTTACCTAAATATCTAACAGCACTAATTGATGTGCATATCGGTTTGCGCGCGACATATTCAAAAATTTAATACTTACAGGCGCCATTACCAGTCGCTCGGGACATAAGCGCACACTCAGAGAGCGGCGCAAATAACTACTGACGGTGAAAAAAGGTAAATCATGAAGATTACCCCAGACTTTCAAAGTTGTTGTACACGTTGTACTGCCGGGCTTCTATATTTTATAATTTTTGTCACTGCTGTGACTGATCATGCTTTGCGTTCGATTTGACTGAAAGACTTAATTCCTTTGATATCATTTTCTGGAGATTCCAGTCATGATGAAGATGAGTGAAGATAACTCAGTACATTCACTTCAGTTTTGACCTGAAAATGCGAAACTGACCGCGACATGGCGCCTTTGAGTCACAAATGGATAGATGCCCCAAGAGATGATTTTCCGTCTCTTTCATCAGCTGTTTCATTTCCCCGGGGTTCTATGTCTTTACTGTTTTATGGCAACAGACTTTAGAAATCGCTCTCAGTAAAAACGCAACCAGTTGAGCCAGCTCTTTGGGCGGGATTATCTTCGTTCTGGTCCTTTCTCGCTTTATCTTTTTAAATTTCAAACGGTAAACGTTCGACTTCGTAAAAGGTCTAATTTTGAATTTTTTTATTCAAATTTCAGATCAATAATTCTCTGAGCCGAAGGTAAAGTATTGACGAATTCGCCGAAATTTACTAGCTTTGTCCCTGGCGAAGAATTATGAGATCGTAATTTTGTTGAGTTAGTAGAAACAAGTAACTATCACTATATCACAGTTTTGTGTTCACAACCTAACTTTCTTGATTATGATGATTTGCTAAAATTTACGACAAAACTTTTAGTTTCACCTTCTACGGCGTTTGAACTAACAAGCTAACCACATGTTTCTTTTATATATCGCTACCACGTAGACCGTTATTTGAAAGTACAAAATCTATTCACTAAAACATGCCTGCCAAGAATTTTTGGTACTAATAAATGAATTCTCTTTCTCTTTTACTTAGGCATGTTCCAATTTATCACCTAGCCATAGAACAAAAAGGACAAAGGCAGGGAAGGCCACGGAAAAACAAGAATATCACACAACGCTAGGTTGGCTTGTGCGGCTCGAACTCTAGCGACGGAAAATCCGTGTTTCAAACGATCACAAATTTCAGTCAGTTAGAGAAAAAAAAATAAGCGGAAACTCAGTTCATATGAGTCTGGATTTGAAGGAAGAGCTAGCATTTTTTTTCGCGTTATAGCTTTTATTGCTATATAGCTATTTAATTAATATAATTGGACAGGTTTCTTTTGTGTCTTGTATTTAATTGTACATTTTGCCGTTCAGTCTAGTTTGTATCAGGAATCAGCGAGTTTCTATTTATTACTGAAGAAGAAAATTTACAACAGCTTGGCAGTAAATTAAGTTTTTTAAAGATGATTTATCTTTAATGCTAGCACATCGCATGCTAACAAGAATTTCATTTGAGCTGAGAAAAATTACTCAAAACAATGCTATCGCTATTATATTTGTGTCTATAACTTAACTTCCTTGATTCTGATGATTTCCTAAAATTCATGAAAAACTTTTAGTTATAGTTTTTAAATGGCAATTAAGCTAACCTTGCCCTTTTACACTGAACAGCGAAAAAATGGTTACGAGCAACGTTACCTGTGTGAACTATCAAGAGAAACAGCACTGGAAGGAATTTGGATAGGGGTTTGCAAAAGGCAAAAAAAATTTAAAAAAAATGCCTAAAAAAGGCTTGATTACCAGCCTCTGTTCGGACAGTAAGCTCACGTTTTTTTCTTTTGTCACTGGTGTGGATGTGGCAATATGTTTCTCAGTATTTCCATGATAGCATGTCGAACATGTCTCATCCTCCAGGAGTAGATCAGAGGGTTGAGAGATGAACTGAGGAACATCAGCGTGTTAGTATAAAGTACAAACTGAAATAGCATCGTACTTGGTCCAGCGCTTCTATGGATAGAGCGGTTTTCACTTGACTGTCGTAAAACCAAAACCAAAGTAAATACACTAGCCAACCAAAGGGCGTAGTAAAACCAAAACCAAAACCAAAACCAATCCCTTTCGACAGTCAAGTGAAAACCGCTCTAATCCAGAAACATGTGGATGGCAGATAACAAATCAGAAACACAAGATACACATAGAACGTACCAGCTGCAGCTTTTCTCTCCCTCGCAGCATTAGTCATGTCTCCCTCATTATTCTATGCTAGCTGTGCTTGCAGGACGTGAATTTGATTGCTGTGGTGACGTACAGCTAAGTAGATCTTGAAATAAAAGAAGGCTGTAGTTAGATAACAAACGCTTTCAACAGGTACTGAAATAATCGTGGCAACATTTGACGGAATCCATACCGAACAGTAACATCAGAATCGCACTTATGATCCAAATCGAGATCACTACAGTAACAACGCGCTTGTGAGTCACTAGTTCCTGGTACCTGAGATAAAAATGAAGAGCCAAGAATCTGTCTGCGGCTAGAGCTACAACACCAATGAACGAGGCATAAGTAAGGAAATTCCCTGTTTGATAAAAAATGTTTAAAGTAATCTCAAAAGTTCGAGTTTGAGTGTTTTCTTTTATCAGCATTACAAGACTTGCAATGTACAAGGGTTGAACTAGTAAACCAACACCAAGATCAGATACAGCCAGACTCAGCAGCAATACTTTTAGAGCTCTTGGTATCGTCAATGGTTTTCTCAGAGCGAGTATTGACACAATGCTAAGCGTTATGGCGGTAAAAGGCAAGAAGGCGTTGAAGACGCAGTTCGCGATTAATGAAGCTTGCATAATGATAATTGCTTGGATATTAAACTCAGCCAAGTAATAACTTTTTTAAAAAAAATTCCAAAGTGAAATGGTATGTTATACCAATATGCTTTCCTTTCTTCAAGTCCAGCTTCTCACACGAAATACTTCAGATTCACCCTCACAAATTCTAAAAATTGTTGTTTTTAACGTGCCGTGTTACATAAATTAAAGTAGATGCAAATTTAAGGGTATGTTTGATTGAAAAAATCATGAAGTTGATACTTGCTGGAGGTTTTCTTCAAATTATCTTGGCAAATGCGTGGCAAATAAATGACAGCGACCAAATTAAAAGTGAATTTTAAAGTGACAACAACAATTAACAAGAAATAGGTAAGCCAGGGAAAAAATAGAAGGAGCTGTAAATTCGTCGGTTAACATACAAAATAGCATCAAATAATTTTTTATAGTATTTGATTTGTTTCTTTTAGCATTTATTTCGATGTTCATTTAGTTCGAAAGCTGGAAAATGCACCCGGCAACGCAAAATTATTGAAGTAGAGTTTAATTTTTGCTTGAAAAACTCAAAACTTTAGAATCGAACTCTGTGTCTGTCCTCTGGATGTTACAGTTCTTTAATTTCCTTTGCGAATTAGCTTCTCCTTCAAATATAGACTCATGAACTCAATTTCCGCTTGTTTTTGTCTCTTTAACTGACTGAAATGTTCCATTTTTTCCATTTTTTTCTGAACGAGTGAGAAAATGAAAACTCAGGTTTTGTTGAATATACTTGTTTTTCCAGTGAATTTCCCTACGCTGCTCTTTTCGCTTTAAAAAAGCCTATAATCTCTGCTTAAAGGTCTTAGATAACTGACAGTTATTATTCACCTTAGTCTCACTTTTTCTTAAAAATTCGTTTTTACTCTACAAATGGTGCTCTTCATAAGTTATATATTTAAAAGTTTCATTTAAATGCCTTAAAAATTTGTAGTTATTAAAACATCGAGGTGAGAAATAGACCCTGTTTTATTGCTCAGTTACTGTTGTCACGAACTATACGTAGTTTAAGAAGGCCAGGCGCGAAATAACTTGGTAATGACTAAACTGAAATTGAAATTGTGAAGAACAGCTAAATTAAAAGCGGCGTTAACTTGGCGATTAGATACGAAATGAGGAGGCGATTAATTCTACACGAAACAGAAGTTACTCGCGAAAGGTTCTTACTTTATCGATGGTCGAGTATTCTTCAGGATATTTACTTTTTATATCGTATTTGACGATTTGCTTCTGAATTGACGTTTTTTTAACTTAGTGTGCATGTTAGCGACGACCAGAAATACGGCTGCGGTTGCAGGTTGATACGCGTGTATAAATACACGAAAATTCGTGATGAACAGTAGCGTTTCATTTCAATCATCGCCGAAGATAAACCGCATGCTCATCACAAGACTAATTTTTACCCTCACCATCGAAGTTTTGCTAATATAAGGATTCTTCTGTTTTTTTTTTCCGACCAATGAAGTGTTCACTTGTTCCAAAGTAGTCAACGCTTTCAAGCAATAGAATTCGTGGACCGACCCGTTCCGGAAAAGTCGTATAAATCGCATTTTAAAGCTTTCTTCGCTAAACTGCGTGGTTATTCTGTCACGCAACGATTCTTGTTCCCAAATTCCACAGTCGCCGCAATCCCATTTGTTTACTAAATACGAAGAAAAAACGGTTTTGCAGATTATGAATCTCGCTGCTTACGCAAACGAAGCTAATGAATGTGATGGTATTAGCACGCAGCAAAAGCAGGGATTTGCCGCTTTGAACATGGGGAGGAAAAAGGGAAAATATTATGTGTGTCATAATTTTGTTTTAGAAGGAATTCAGTTTTCATGTTCACTTTCAGCTGGCCTCATTGTTCATTCAGGGGATGTTACAAAAACGAGGAACGAGGAACAAGCGCGGGGAAAGGGAAAATAATGATAAAAAAAAGGGGACAAAAAAAGAGAACTGGAAATTTCATGAAGTCACTGTTTGGGATAGCATTCAACTTAGTTTTTGTTCCCATAATCGTATCGCTAAGAAGCTAGGCGCCATACTCGAAGAAAATGCCCGATAAGGCTGAAATCTCCGAGGTCCCTTCACAAAAACTTTTAGGTGTAACGTTTGACAGCAACATGGTTTATGATTCGCATGTTGACGATCTACGCAAGAAATTATATAAACGCCTCGGTCTCTTTAAGTAAAAAAGGTAAAATATATTGAACTTATCGATTTAAGACGCTTTTCTTCTTAAGGAAGATGATTCCAACCTCTTAGAGATTTCAAGCTATTTAAAAAAAACATCTTAAAATTTCTTTAGGATCACTTTTGATTAAGATGCTACTCCTCTTAAATAGTAGGCTGCAACCTTAACTGAGGTAAGACGAATGCTTCTTAAACTAAGACGCGAAAAAAATTGAGAATTTCGTTTAATAAAAATCTACAAGAAAAGAGAAACGCTAAGCCATCCATCGAGCACTATATAATGACCTCCATAATTGCCTTAGTTAGTTTATTAATGGTTATGTTCGGTCCTAATGAAAGTCGAGTCAAAGAAATGGCGTCCATGAGGAATTTATATTAAACTGACCCTTTAACACCTGCCTAAACTGTTTCTCAGTGAGGAACTAAAAAAATCTTTTTGGCATTAAAGATTTCCATATATCGTTTCTAGTGTCCTTATTTCGATTTAAATGATACTTTTTCCAATTAGGCAGAATCCCTTGTCTTTTTTAAACAGATAACTGACAGTCGGCATCCTTTTAGTAATAATAAGCTACATTATTACTTTTATTAATGGTTATCGTCGGTTTCTAATAAAAAGCAAAGTCAAAGGAATTGCTTCTATGAATTAACTCTTAGTAAAACCCTTTCTCACCTGCTCAAGTAGTATCTCAGTCTGACGGTGTTGCGTTATTTCAGGTATACAGTATGTTCTTATCAAACATCAAAACCTTTTTGGCATTAATGTTTTTCATATATCGAGCCCTTTGCCTTTATTTTTAATTTTTTTCTTCAATAAAGCAGAATCCAGTGTGTTCTGTTATAGAAATAGACTTTGACTGGAAAAAGGGCGGACTTGATTAGTTTAACTGGTTGTAGAAATTTGTCAACAAAGGATGACGTGCTTTGTTTTCAATTTGACCCTGAGACACTTATTAATAAATAGTTTGATATTGTTTTTTCGAGATTCTAGACGTAAAATCGGAGATGAGGGAAGATACCTAAGTATTCAGTTCAGTTCTTAATTAAAAGAATATGCGGTGATCACCATTATTATTCATTCAAAGTATTTCCCCAATTCTGATTGGCTAAAAGCACACGCATAATTCACCATAACCAGTTACTGATGACCAAATTTGGAAGAATTTTGTGTTTAACGAGGAAATGACGACATGGCACCATTACAAAGAAGACCCGTGGGGACGAGGTTGAGTTGTTTTGGTTGTGAAAAAAAAATGGCGGACATTTCACTCGTTTCAAGACTAAGAGCTACAGCTGGAACTAGGCGAAATAATAGCTACAAACATGGCAAAAACAGCAAGAAGATAACCCGAAGGGCTACATCTGCTATTTGGAGAATATTTGCGGAGCTGGTCAAACCTAAACGTACACTATCGAAGATGAACTTAACATCGATGCAGGTAAGCATGTTTTAGCTATGTTTTTAAACTAGGAATTATTTGAATGAATAATAAGAAGGTCTCGGTGGATAACACTCTCCTCGATCTGCTCATATGGATGGATGCCCCAAGAAAAGAGTTTCCGTCTCTTTCGTTACTGTTTTATGGGACAGGCTTTCGGCAGAAGCGTAGCTCGAGATTTTGAAGGTGTACGCTCAGAAAGAAAGATTACGTTAGACCGCCAAAGGCATCCCCTATAAATTATTTGAAATTTTAGGGGCTCAGAAAAAGCAATTTTCCTGCGTTATCCGCAAGACATTTTCGCTAAATAAATACGAAGGAAAACGCAATAATTACATCACTAGTGTTATCGGTAATGAACTGTGTTTACAGAAAAAACGGTAAAACAATGACGAGACGTCTAACCTTTAAAAAAGCTGACGTCGTTTTTTTAACGTCTCCTCCAAAAAGGAGAAGAGATTGCAAAAAATTCTGCAGAAAAGCTCTCAACAACTGACTTAGCCTGATTAAGTAAGGTCGGTAGAAACGGTTTGAGAAGTGTTAAATAGGGGGTTCAGTCACTGTAAACAAAGAGAGCCTCATAGAAGTCTTCTCTTCCATACTTTTATTAAGAGCGTGTCTCCGTAAAAACCGACCAGTGATTTTGGATCAAAAAATTAATTTCCCTTATATTCTGGGATATTAAAGCCTCCACCTCAGTAGTTGCAAAAATGCATTTCGTTTGACCGAAAATGATAAATATATTTTTTTACGAATTTTTGAATTTCCGGGCGGTCAGCGCCGGCGCCATAGCCTTTCAAACTGCAAAAATCGCTAATATTGACCGCACTCTAGAAAACAAACACCTGGCTCAAAAAGACTGATTTTCTTTTCCGTATACAGATACACCACTTTAGATTTCCTAGCCATATCACAGTTCCGAATTATTTATTTATTTCAACGGCAATGATTTTTTCCCCAGCACGTGTTTTCGGCTTTCCATCAAAACACGAAAGTAGCTCAACTTTGAGGGTAATTTTAAAAAGTGTGGCACCTGTCTGAACTTCGCTATCTATATGAATACAATCTAGGAATGATAATAAAACTCAACAAGGAATAACATTTTTGTGCTCTCCACGTTTTCAGAATAGACCGCCGTTTGAATTTCCAGAAATTTCGTAAACCTGATAATTAACGAACACTTGCCTTGTCAATCTGCTTGTCAAAGTCCAACTTCATTTGATGGCGTGATAGGTCTTATCCAAGTTGTTTCACATTTTAAAGTTATTTCTCAATCAACTGAAACTATATTGGCCGTTGATTCCATGTCCTTGGTCCGTTTTAAGAAGTTATCTGGTTTATAAAATGGCAGTATCCGAGAGCGTGACTGGTTCGTGACACCGTCCTGAAAGGTCTTTTGCTAAAATTAGTTGGATGCCATCTTGTTCATTGTGATTACTCTTCAAGACATCGCCGTGAAATTTCTAGGGCAAAGAAAACACTTTTCTTTGCGAATGAAACGCGATGAGTCGCTAACAAAGCGATTTAACCCAGTTCAGATTAAAGTTGAGATATGCGAGACTTTGTATTTCATCCCCAGTCCTCCTGGACTGGACACAAAACAGACAAGGGGTAACATGGCTACTGATACAGTAAAGTGTTCTTTCTCGGGCTTCGGAAAATCTAGTTGTGGAGGTTTTCGAGGTTCGGATACAGTTTGTAGGTTGCGAGAATGCCAGGAAGATATAACGATCCACTTGAAGACATGCCATCTTTCAAAACTATCTGGAATGATGGAGTACGAACTGATACTAGTCAGGGCGGGGCTATTCGATGTGCCACCACACCGGCAAGAAGAAATGTTCGTGTGTCCAAAACACAGACATAATTTGGGTCGCAACTGGCGTCCTTTGAGGACATGTCGATATCCTCTTCATTCAGGAGCGAAGAAAAAGCTAAAAAATGATCATGTTATCAACTTGGAGATGTCCAAGAATATTCACGCAATTTTTGGAATCACAATTCCCATTGGGTCAGGTAAGCATTCTACCACACAATATTTTACGTTTTCCCTTTTTTGAGGAGCAACGATTGCCACAGTTGGTTATTGCGTAGCCCTTGGAGTCTTCTGAGTGAGAGGTCTCGAGATTGATGCCCATGGCCAGGTGTGACAAATTCTTTCCGTGTAGCTTCAAGTAGCTTTAAATACCCGTAAAACGGAGTACTGATGAAGAGGGGGTTTAAAAGGGTTTGTCTTTCAGATAATGATGAAATGATCATTTCGAAGAACCGCCGTATTTGAGGCGCCTTTACTTTTTAACTTTCAATAGAATAAAAGAACTCATAAAACCAAGGTAAATGTCATGGTCAAGTATTCCGAATTGTACAACAAACTGTAAATCTAATTATAAATAAAGACTAAAAGAGAAGGTCGAGAGAATAACCATTCAACGTTGTTGTAAAACCTTGAAAGAGAATCATTCCATAAGGTGTTTATTTTTCCGGCTATTTATATCATAACCAGTTATATTTTTTGGCAACAGTGCCACGATGTAAGTGTAGAAATCTTGGATTGAGTAAATAAAAAGTATGAAATGAACATTCTTGTTTTACATTGTTTGGTCAAGCGCGTTAGTATAATTAGGACAAGTATATTTGTTACAACACAGATGTTCAAAAATACACAAATATTCCTGGATTTTTGCGAGATGTAAAAGGTGCTTAGAATGTCTTTACAGAACTGTCTATTTTTTACGTTGATTCATAGCGTTCTATTTTTCAAAGTAAGAGATAATTTCGGTAAAGTAGCCTAGATGCACGTGACTCACGAAATTATGCGAAAAACTTGGCAATGTTCAAACCCTTTTTTGTGACTATCGGGGATTTTTGTACATGAAAAGCTGCTATATGCTATATCCTGAAAACTATTTTTCCGACACCTCAAGACCTAACCGGGAGATTAAAAACTGTTTTGAGTTTATTTTGCCAGTTGTCAATTATCAATCCGATAGATCAGAATCAGTGTTGGTTCTAAAAATAAGTCTTACGCTACGAATCGACTTTGATTAAAAGTTAATTTCATCATTGTGATACTTTTTAATGCACAGCAATTTGCACTACTTGTGTCAAGAAGCAAAGACAAAAATATGAGGAAAATAAACGTTGGCTGGAGGAAAACACTGAGAGTGAGAAATTAGGAGAACATGAAGAGACAAGGTGTGTTTAAATACCTTTAAATGAAACACTGAGATGTTAACTCATTTTAATTGCCATTGCAAGTACTTGTGAAGTCTCGTGCACACAATTTCTCAAAAAAAATAACACAGGTATACACGTCGAACCAGTATGGTCTATAATCACTGGTATGTCTATAGTAAATATGAATTGTATGAAGCGGACACTTTTTATGGCGATTTTTCTTTTTTTGTATCAGGGTGTTTTTTTCGTTTGGGAGTGTTAAATTGTTAAAAAATCTTGCTGGGTTGCTATTTCATACTTACGACCATTTTTTTTGTTGTTAATTGTACTGTGTAGACTGGCAAAACAAATGGCTGCGATGGCCTTGAAGAACAGCTCAGAGATGCCATGTACCCCGATAGCTTCTAGATTGGCACCATCCAGTGCTATTACACCCGTGGACTGGACGCCCGGAGAGTGGTCTGGAGAAGAAAGTGAAAATTCTCAAGACGGGGACGAAATAGAAGGAGAAGAATCATTGATAACGACATACAATGAGGCAATGGCTAGTTTATCAGAAAAGACCAAGATCGGAAAAGTCAGCCCATTGACCTTTCAGTTAGAAACTGGATGGGATGAAGCGACGGACGTGGAAAAGGGAAAATGCATTGAAAAGGCTATGGAAGGATGCAAAGTCGTATGTGAAATAATAGCACCAAACGCTGGGGATCAGCTTTTTAGATCATGCGCTCAATTATCAGATCGGACCAACGAAAATCCTTCTGGTGACTTGCTTGCTCCAATGCAGGCGTACAAAAATGCTCCAACAGGGAATCTTAAGACCCAGATTCTAAGTCTTTATGCATACCGCTACCCTATGGAAAAGCTACAAAAGCTACACGAGCCCTTCGAAAGCATAACTATGTGGCAAATAAAGAGGGCAAGAGCTCATGCTCGCGAATACGGTCCAGTTTTTACCCTTGAAAAGGCTTCAAGTTATCGTGTTCGACTTGACACAGCCCTTGTGGATCATTTTATAGAATTTGTAAACAGACCATATTTTTATCAAGACGTTTCGTTTGGAACCCGAAAATTGAAATTGGATAATGGCGAACAAGTGACCATGCCCAATGTAATTCGCACAGTAACTCGCTCCACCATGATACAACAGTACCTGCAGTTCTGCGAAGAAGAAGAGATAAAGCCACTAAGCCGTGCAACTTTGTTCGGATCCTCGAGGTCAGAGAAGCCTCTCAACAAAAGTCATTAGCTGGTCTCGACAATACCGCAACTGACGGATCTGCCGGTTTTGAAAAAATCAAACAAATTGTGGACGACCTTGACCAGATTGGTCAAGAAGAAGGTTGGTCGGAGGACATAAAGAAGTCACTTCAGAATGGCAAGCAATATTTGAAAACGAAATACAGTGAACATTGCCAACGAGGAGAGAGCACATGCTCCGACCATTGTGTCAAGTTTGCCCTTAGTGACCCTAATGATGAGGACCTTCAAGAGAAATGTGAGCATGAACATACATCTGCCTGTAGCCATTGCGTTGAACTTTCTGTCTGTCTGGAGAAGGTAGAACAAGCGATCAAAGGTGAACACACCCAGTTCTACAGTAAAGAACAACAAGAAGATATGCTATATGATTTTCAGAGGTCTGCTAAGGCTGTCAATCACTGGAAATCTCATATTATGAGGTCAGCAAATCAAGAGCGCGCAAAACAAGATATCCTTGAAGATTTAGACTCTAGCTCAAACTTAATAATTATGGATTGGGCAATGAAATTTGTTCAGATGAGATACCGCGAAAAACAGAGTGATTGGTTTGGGAAAAGGGGCCTGAGCTGGCACATAAGTAGCGTGATATCGCGTGACAGTTCGACCGGAGAACTCGAAGTTACTTCTTACGCTCATTTATTTGATCAATGCACCCAAGATTGGTTCGCGGTTGCATCAATAATTGAAGATCTTCTAACACACGTGAAAATGAAGCAACCCGGGCTAAAAAGTGTTTTTTTGAGATCTGATGAGGCAGGTTGCTATCACAGCAACTTTTTGATTGCGGCGGTTCGTGGCATTGGACAAAGGGTTGGCGTTGCAGTGGAAGCCTATGACTTTTCTGAGCCGCAAAGCGGGAAGGATGTATGTGACAGGATTCTCTGTCCTCTAAAATCGTCCGTCCGTACGTACTGTTCCGAGGGTAATGATATTCTGTCTGCGTCCGACATGAGAGATGCTCTTCAGAAACATCCTGTCAGAGGAACTTCCGCTTCAGTGAATATGGTAGACGAATCGAAAAAGAGCCTTCAAGTGAAGAAGATTGATCATTTTAGCGGTTTCCACAATTTCACATTTGAGAGTTCAGGAATAAGAGCAAGAAGAGCCTATAAAATTGGTCGAGGAAAGCTTTTTCCTTATGACACTTTGTATTTAAAACACCAAGAGGCGACTGGCCTTATGACAAAAGAAGCTGATAAAACATTTTTTGAGCCAATTAAAGAAAGACGTCTCAAGACTAAGACGCCTAAGGATGTACAATTTCCCAGTGGTACAAATGCGGAAAAAGATACAGCTCTCTTTGAATGTGTATTTCCAGGTTGTACGCAGGTGTTTCAGTTCTTTTCAGATCTAGAACAGCACCTTGACGTAGGGAAGCACACCAGCAATCAAGAAACGACGAAGAAGAGTGAAAGCTTATATGACAAGATCACAAACGACTGGGCAACAAAATTTACATCAGTGGATGTGGCTGTGAAAAAATCTACACCATTTATGTTAGCGTCCGAATCATCAACTGACGTAGAAACCCTGCAGATGGGATGGGCACTAAGCAAGGCCCACGCAGGTTCCATTCGGTTTTCTCGTGAGGTTGAAGAATATCTCACAGCCAAGTTTGAAATTGGTGAGCGAACTGGCCGCAAGGCGGACCCTGTTCAGGTTGAAAAGGATATGAGAACAGCAACAACCCCCTCTAATGAAAGACGGTTCAGTCGCACGGAGTGGCTAACTAAAACGCAGATACAGAGTTTCTTCTCTTGCCTTGCAGCTTCCAAACGGAAAGAGTTAGGAACTGTGGGATTTTCTATGGAACAAGAAGAAGATATCGAATGTCTAGTGGAAAGTGTAGAGCATCAAAATTTAATGGCAAATATTGTTGAAGCAATTGGATTGAAGCACCCTATTACATACGACACGTATGATCTTTGTGACTTACATCGACAGAACAGACTTCCTGCTTTTAATGTCCAAATGCTTAAGAAGGTACTTTCCTATCTTGAGGTCCCCTTCAGATCTAAAGAAAGGAAAGCTGATCTGTTGGACAAGCTCAGAAAAGTTGTCACGGAATGTGAATACCAGGGTCCAGTTCAGTGAATTTCCGCGCAGCGTGGGGTCCTTGGAAGGACGTGGAAACCGTAGTAGCGTGGCTATGGTTTCTCAATTCCTTTAGCTGAAATGTGTTGAACCATTTTTGTCGGTGCATTTATGTTAAGCTGAAGACGAAAATTTATCGAAGTATGGCAATTCAATGTTAATTACATCAAACTTTACAGAAAATGTTACGAAACAACCGTGTCACGCTCGCAACTGATGGCTCTATTACTTTTATACAAACTAGATAAGAGATGCCGTTGAAGGACAGGTTCGATGCTTTTAGAGTTAAAGCGGTTACTTCAGGAGCAAAAGTATCCTCTAAAAAAACCAAGAGGGACATTATAACCTACGAAGTTAATAAAGCAAGTGAACGAGGTACCGCAGTATTTGTTAATTATAATTACCGTATCAGGTCATCACCCAGTGCAGGAGAACTGGGGATGAAATACAAAGTCACGCATCTTTCAAGTTTATCAGGAGACTGGGTTAAAACGCTTTGTCAGCGACTAATCGCGTCGTATTTGCGAAGGAACGTGTTTTATTTGCCCTAGAAATTTCACTGCGATGTCTTGAAGAGTATAACCTCAATGAACAAGATTGCACCCAACTAATTTTAGCAAAAGACCTTTCAGGACGGTGTCACGAACTAGTCACGCTCGCGGATACTGCCATTTTATAAACCAGATAACTTCTTAAAACGGAACAAGGACATGGAATCAACGGCCAATATAGTTTCAGATGATTGAGAAATAACCTTAAAATGTGAAAGAACTTGGATAAGACCTATCACGCCGTCAAATGAAGTTGGACTTTGACAAGCGGATCGACAAGGCAAGTGTTCGTTAACTATCAGGTTTACGAAATTTCTGGAAATTCAAACGGCGGTCTCTTCTGCAAACGTGGAGAGCACAAAAATGTTATTCCTTTTTGTGTTTTACTATCATTGCTAGATTGTATTCATATAGATAGCGAAGTTCAGACAGGTGCCACACTTTTTAAAATTACCCTCAAAGTTGAGCTACTTTCGTGTTTTGATGGAAAGCCGAAAACACGTGCTGGGGAAAAAATCATTGCCGTTGAAATAAATAAATAATTCGGAACTGTGATATGGCTAGGAAATCTACAGTGGTGTATCTGTATACGGAAAAGAAAATTAGTCTTTTTGAGCCAGGTGTTCGTTTCCTAGAGTGCGGTCAATATTAACGATTTTTGCAGTTTGAAAGGCTCTGACGCCAGCGCTAATTGCCGGAAATTCAACAATTCGTAAAAAAAAATATTTATCACTTTCGGTCAAACGAAATGTATTTTTGTAACTACTAAGGTGAAGGCTTTAATATCCCAGAATATAAGGAAAATTAATTTCTTGATCCAAAATCACTGGTCGGTTTTTACGGAGACACGCTCTTAAGGTTCAGTACGTGATATCCTTTTATCAGGAAAAAGAAATCATTGCATTTTCCTCTTGCGAAGGGGTGGTGGAAGCAATATGATTCTTCTTCCCCCCTGAAAAAAGAACTGTGAAACAAAAATCGTTTCGTTGTCAACACGAAGTTTTATTTTATACTATTCCAGTGACCTATTGCATATCGCTACCATGTAGACCTTTTCTTGAAAGTGAAAAATCTATTCACTATTAGTGAATAATGCCCGCCAAGAATTTTTCAGTACTAATATAATAAGCGAAACTTTTTAAGGCATGTTCCAGTTTATCACATAGCCATAGAACAAAAGGGACAAAGGCAGGGAAGGCCATCGGAATAACAATAATATCACGCAAACGTTAAGTTGGCATGTTCGGCTCAAACTCTTCCGAAGGAACATCTGTGTTTTATTAACGATAAAAAATTACAGCAGTTTGAGAAAGAAAAAGAAGCGGATACTGAGTTCATATGAGTCTAGATTTGAAGGAAGAGCTAGCATTTTTTTCGTGTTATAACCGCACGTTTCCGTTGGGTGTTCCGTCTGAAATATTACCTTTGGCGAAGGATTGTGAACGTGAACTATGATTTTAGAGTTTGTTAACAGTTTTAGAGTTTATCAGTAACACAGAGAGAAGGTGACAACAACGTTGAGGTCCAGACATTTTCCGCCCCAATTTTTGTACCACCATCGTTTTGACACAAATTCGTTTCTTTTGTGTCTTCTTTGTATGTACTTGTACCTTTTGCCCGTCGTTCAGTCTTTGTATCAGGAATCAGCGAGTTTCTATTTATTATTGAAGAAGAACATTTACAACAGCTTGACAGTAAATTAAGTTTTTACAAGATGGTTTTTATTACAGGGAAACTTTTTAGTGCCAGCACATCGCATGTTAACAAGAATAGACTTTGTCACGGTTTTCGACGCCATCTTGACGAGTAGGCAAACGCGTGAGAAATTACAGTGATTGTATGAGAATCTAATGTCGAATAATTTCCGTAGAACGGCTGTTCTGAAAAAAATATGACTTGTAAACTAAAGATTCACTCCTAAGGATTCTCCTGAAAAAATTTGAGGGCGTTACATGCACTTGAAGACCTAAAACCGCTTTTTAAAATTTTCTATACATTTGTCTGTAAGAAAGTCCCGGTAAAATTGCAGACAAATATATGGAAAATCTAAAGCAATCCTCTGGAGAAATTTAAGCACAGGTACGCCCCCCAAATTTTTTAGGACAATCCTTTGCATTGTAGCTTTAGTTTACAATTGATATTTTTTTCAGAACAGCCGTTTTACGGAAATTATCCGACATTAGATTCTCATATAAACACTGTAATTTCTCACGCGTTTGCCTACTCGTCAAGATGGCGTCGAAAACCGTGACAAGGTCTATTTCATTTAAGCTGAGAAAAATTGACTCAAAACATTGTTATCGGTACATTATATTTGTGTACATAACCTGAATTTCTTGATTCTGGTAATTTCCTGAAATTGATGAAAAACTTTTAGTTACAGCTTTTTGGCGTTTAATTTATCAACCTAACCTTGCGCTTTTACACTGAACAGCGATAAACAATTTAGTTATGAGCAACGTTACCTCAAACAGTAGTAAGGAATTTAGATAGCGGTTTGCACTCAGCAAGACACAAAAATAAAAATAAATAAGTAAATAAAAATACCGAGGCTCGATTCAGGAAGTGAGAGCAAGCTCTGAGAATCTGAAAAGAACCTAAAGCTTACCGAGATGAAAAAAATTGCCATGAAAGAGGTAATAAATGAAGTATTAATCCAAGTCTATTAAAGTTTTTATATACGCTGTATTGCCGAGTTTCTTCACTTTTTTCTTTTGTCACTGGTGTGGATGTGGCAGTATGTTTCTCAGGATTTCCATGATAGCATGTCGAACATGTCTCATCTTCCAGGAGTAGATCAGAGGGTTGAGAGATGAATTGAGTAATATCAGCGTGTTAGCATAAACTACAAACTGCGATAGCATCGTACTTGGTCCAGCGCTTCTACGGATAATCCAAAGACACGTGGATGGCAGATAACAAATCAAAAACACCAAATACACGTAGAATGTACCAACTGCTGCTTTTCTCTCCCTCGCAGCACTAGCTATATCTCCCTCATTATTCTGTGCTAGCTGTGCTTGCAGGACGTGAATTTGATTGCCGTGGTGTCGTACAGCTAAGTAGATCTTGAAATAAAACAAGGCTGCAGTTAGGTAACAAACGCTTTCAACAGGTACTAAAATAATCCCGAAAGCATTTGAAATCCACATGGACAACAACATCAGCATCGCACTTATGATCCAAATCGAGATCACTACAGCAACAACGCGCTTGTGAGTCACAAGTTCCTGATATCTGAGATGGAGATGAAGAGCCAAGAATCTGTCTGCGGTTAGAGCCACCACACCAAAGAATGAGGCACAACTAAGAAAAGTCGCAGTGGCATTAAGAGAGTTCAAAGTGATCTCAAAATATAGAGTTTGAGTGTTTTCTTTTATCATCATGACAAGACGTGTAATGTACAAAGGTTGAACCAGTAAACCAACACCAAGATCAGATACAGCCAGACTCAGCAGGAATATTTTTAGAGCCCTTGGTATCGTCAATGGTTTTCTCAGAGCGATTATTGTTACAATGTTCAGTGTGATGGCGGTAAAACTGAAGAAGGCGTTGAAGACACAGTTGACGATGAGTAGAGGTTGCATCATTACTCGAATAATGTTTGTTCTACCCAAACCCGGCAACTCTCGATCTCTGTGTGTTATTCGAACGGAAATAAAAGAGAAACGCTTATGTATTCATTTAATATTACCTTGTTTATTAATGATTATTTTCGGTCCTAATAAAAGCCGAGTCAAATAAATTTCGTCCATGAATTAACTTTTTTAAACTGACCCTGTATCACCTGCCTAAACTGCTCCTCATGCAGCGACAAACTAAAAAATCTTTTTGGCATTAAAGATTTCCATACATCGTGTCTTTTGTCTTTACTTTTACATTTTTTCCAATAAAGTAGAATCCCTTTTAATAAAATTGATAAACAGGAGACTTAGAAGGCGTCACTTTTACCAAAAATGACCTACATATATTATTTTAATGGTCATTGTTGGTCCTAATGAAAGCCAAGCCGAAGAAAACAGATGCTCCCATGACTCTTATCAAAAACCCGCTGTACTCACCTGCCTATGCGAATTTCTCAGTGAGGAGCAACGTCGGTGTTTTGAATTATTAAAGACAATTACTCTGATCAAACATTAAGACCTTTTCGGCAATAATGTTTTTCATTTATCTATAGTCCTTTACCTTTATCAGGGGCACCCAACGACAATTTTCGGAAAATATCTGTTCGGAAGACGATTTGAGATCTAGAATTTTCGGAACATTTGTTGTAAAATTTCTTGCTTGCCTGCCTCTCCTAGGAAAATATGATTGAAATACATGTATGAAATGGATTTTACTGAAAAACAACAACAACAACAACAACAAACGAGCAATTTCGGATCGGTTCAAAAACTTTTTATGGAAATTAATCAACAAGTGATCGTGTTTTCTTTCAAATTTGACAGAGACTTTTCCTGGATATCGTTTTCTGGAGAACCCAGTATAATGGAAGATGAATAACCACAGTCAGTTCTGATCAGTCTTGACCTGAAAACGCGGAACCTACCGCGACAAGGCGCCTTAATTTCAATCATGAGTGAAAAATGGATAGATGCCCCAAAATATGATTTTCGTTCGCTTTCAGTTCCCCTTCGTGTCGTTGTGTTTTATGGGAATCGGGCTTTATTCAGTAAAAACGCAACCAGTAATATCCCACTGTATCAGCTCATCGGGTGAGGTTATCTAGAACTGATCTGTTCCTTTCTCACTTTATCTTTTTGAATTTTAAAGTGTAAACGTCTGACTTCGTAAAAGGCCGGTTTAGTTTTGAATTTTGTTATTTAAATTTTCAGATCATTATAATACTTTTAGCTGAAGGTAAAGTACAGAGGTATTCACCGAGATCTACTTTGTCCTTTGTGGAGGCAAATTTCTTTGAGTAAAATTAAAAAGTAAAACGTAGAGAGCAGAAGTCTTTTTAGACAACTAAGTGTCAACAAGAGACGGTTTTTATTGCAGGGAAACTCTTGCTAGCCCACCGCATTCTAACAAGAATTTCACTCAAGCTGTCAGAAACTAAAAATGGACATAAAACATTAATTAATATTTATCGCTATGATAATGACATTTGTGTCCATAACTTTCTTGATTCTGATGATTTCCTAAAATTCATGAAAATCATCTAGTTACAGCTTTTTCGACGTTTAATTCAACAGACTGAGTAACCTTGCTCTTTTGCTCTGATCAGCGAATAGACATCACAGTTGATAATCATTTTGATAATCCGTTTGCGACGGCTTATCAAAAAAATTAGCCAGGCTCGATTACCTGCCGCTATTCGGGAAATGAGCGTAAGCTTTGAAAGATGACAAAATATGTAAAGAAGTAAATGAAGTATTCATTCAAATCTTCAAATTTGTTAAATACTCTGTATTGCCGAGTTTCTTTACCCTTCCTTTGTAAAAATTTCTTTTTTGTCACTAAATGTAAAATAAATAAATAACGATTTAGAGGTAGCACATCCACTGAGCGGTTCTTCGTCTACCTGATCCCTGGTTGGTTGGTTTTTGAGGAGAGGGGAAAACCAGAGCACCCGGAGAAAAACCTCTCGGAGCAAAGGAGAGAACCAACGACAAACTCAACCCACATATGGCGTCGACGCCAGGACTCGAACCCGCGCCACATTGGTGGGAAGCGAGTGCTCTCACCACTGCGACACCCTTGCTCCCCACCAGTGTGGCAATTAATGTTTCTTAGTATTTCTCAGTTTTTCAGTATTTCCATAATAGCATGTCGAGCAAGTCTCATCTTCCAGGACAGCAGATCAGAGGAAATCGAGCCTTATAATTAAGTAGATGACAACATTTGCTATGAAAAGAGGTAAATGAAGGATTTTATATTCGCTGATTTATTATTGAATTTATTTCTTTTTTAGTTTTTTCTCGTCACTGGTGTGGAGGTGCATGGTAATATGTTTCTTAGTATTTCCGTGATAGCTTGTCGAATATGGCTCATTTTCCAGGAGTAGATCAAAGGATTGAGAGATGAATTGAGGTACACCAGGGTGGTAACATATGGTCCAAAGTTCCTTAACACCGTACTTGGCCCAGTGCTTATGTGGATAATCCAGTATCACGTACTTGATAACAAATCAGAAACAAAAGATACACGTGGAATGTGCCAACTGCAGCTTTTCCCTCCCTCGCAGCATTAGCCATGTCTCCCCCATTATTCTGTGCTAGCTGTTCTTCTAAGACGTGAATTTGATTGCTGTGGTGATGTGCAGCTAAGTAAATCTTTAAATAAATAAGTTGTGAATAAGGTAGTTTTTATCACATAGAAACAGTACTTACTTGGTATACCTTGTGCACTTAAAAGTTTCCTATGAAAAATGTGTGGTCTATCATCTGATATAGCTTCTATAAATTTTGTTCTACAAAATGCTTGTAAAGGGTAATTTTATTAACTCGTTCATTTTTAAAGGGTATCCCCTTCGATAAAAGATGAAAAAAAGTAAATATAGATCAGGCAAGTAGTGTTTGGTTGTTATAGTTTTCAGCTCTACAGCATTTATGACTTAGTACATAATTTAACAAGGGTCATAATTACCCCTCCCTTTTGATCCTGCAAATTTGTTTTTCTCTAGAACCAATGTATCAGAAGCAGCTTAGGCTTTCTCTCTTGATCCGTTGTCCGCGCGAAGTCTGGGAGAGAGCGAGCGATAGAACCCCTTGCCAATATTGCAAAATAGCCCTGATTTTAGCACAATTTTACCCCTGGTCACAATTTTCAAGTTTAAACGTTTGTGTTTTGCAACATCTGCTCCCCGATGGCATGGAACTTGTAAGAAACGCCGGTAAGTCCTAACTTTGTGGCATATTAAATAACGTTTAAGGTTGTTATATACCTGCCAACTTTTTCTGAGATATAAGCGTGAGATTTTTATCCTGGGAGTTCTGGGATTTTTGCAGACGACGCGATCATTTCCGAAGATTACCGAAGAAGTCCGAAGTCTTCCGAAGAAGTCCGAAGTCTTCCGAAGACGTCCGAAGTCTGCCGAAGGCGAAGTTATCGAGAAAACGCTTATCCACAAAATCAGAGATCGCGAGGAAGGTATTGTTATTTATTCATTTACACATGGTTTTCGTTCCTTACATGGGTCTGAGTTAACATATTTCTGGAAATTGTGTCAAGCAAGACGGCAACAACTCACATTTTTCAATCAGGCGTGAGAAATTGGCCCGCAGGCGTGAGCCGGCGTGAGATCGAAGTTTTCAACCCGTAGGCGTGAGACTCACGCCTAAGGTGTGAGAATTGGCTGGTATATTGTTATCTAGCTAATCGCGATGGATTTTTTAACGGAGATCGATCGATTGGCATCAACCAGAAGAATATGTATGCTAAATGTGTTTAGCTAAAATACTTCAGCATGTGCATATTAAAACCAAACAACCGCAAAAAGCCATACAGATTTTCATGAAAAGTTGATGTTATTTTTTGTCGACTCAACAATGGGATGGTTTGCACGTATCCTTAGTGTATCAACCTGAAAACTATATTTTCGTGCGCGCCATGATGATCGGATGTAGTAGAGTGACGTTATTTATTTTCGAAAGTTCGCCTCGTGCCTCGTGCCCATCCTCTTTATCTTTGTACTATAACTTAAGTTAATTATGACTTGGTATTTTCGAACATCTGGAGAAGTGAGTTTTAGCCACTGGAATTAAAATGGCCTCTAGGGCAAGCCTAAAGCTATTTTTGTGTAATGTATTATTTTCTGATAATATTTCTGTGTTAAAAGTGTACTCTAAGAGTTTTGTTTACAACGCATTTTAATGATTTTGCAGGATATTCTCCTCATCCTTCTTTTATATGTTCTGTAAAAAGGGACACAAGGACGTTGCCAAACATTCCATCAATGAAGACCAGGCAACAGAAGAGACTAGAAAAATAGGTACAAAAATAAATGGTGCTCAGCAATGTGATTGTTGACGTCACCATTCCTCGTCGCTCTTTTGTGTTTGTGATCTTGTATACTGCTCCCTGTCTGTCCTCCAGTTTGTCTTTGTCCTTGACATTAGTAAGTAGTCGCCGTAAAGTGGTTATCGGTTCGTGTGCAACACGTGTATTGTAAGGTTGTAATATACGTGTAATAGTTTCAGAGGTGCCTCTGATGTACGGTGTAGTCGCTGTCGTAACAGGGCCAGAGTTGGACTGAGTGTTGGAATCAGTCTTACTGTGAGTGTTCCGTCTAACAAAGTCCGTGCTGTAATTGTTCTTACTAAAAACGTTGTTAAGATAATCAGTCTCGTCTTGTAGGCTGTCAAAAGATCATGTGTCAACGCTTTGCAGCTGGCTTTAACTTTGCAAGAACCGTGTTGTGTTATCATAAGAATTGTAATAACTCGAACATAAGAAGAGATTATCATGTTTTTCAACCTTGAGAGGGGAGGGGCTGAGATAGAGAAAACAGTCTATGATTTTATGGATGTTAACGTAGTCCACCGCAATTTGAAGAGATTTCACTGCACAAAAGGGGTCTAAAATATACCTACTATACTTCTGTGGTGGGATTTAAGTAGATATATTATCTATATCTGTCAGTTATCACATCTGGGTTTGTTATTTGATAGATGGGTTCATTCTTCCTTGTGAACTTGTGCTTAGTGGTAATCACAATGCAATTCCAAGAAACAAAGGCACGTGAGAAAGAGTTAATGGAGCATAGTAAAGATGAGACTGGGTTCCACCACCCATCGTCACTGATGTCGTTTGTGAAGTTTCTTCAAAACTTATGCAAATGCGCCTCTAAAGATAAAGAACCTCAAGTTCATCACCATCATCACCACTTTTATCATCATCACCACTTTCATCACCACTTGTTCAACTGTTTTGTGCCGGCTTCTCCGGTGATGCTTTCTAACGTGCGAAATGTTTCTGATCTGGCTCGTTCATCAGAAATACCAGAAATAAAATTCCAAGAAGAAGGAGAACAAGAGGTATCATTTCCTCCATTTTCCGAGGAGTATGATGGGTATCAAAAATGTCTAACTTCGACTCATGAACAAGCTTCTCGAAGAAGTTCAAGAACTTCCATATGCTCACATACGTTATCAATACATGCCGAAACAGCATCAGCCGTTTCTTTCGAAGACATCATGGCGGAAACGAAGACAAGTGTAACTTTAAACATTCCCTCACCGACCGCCACCGTGGGCTTCTTTGCATTTGGTTCGAGTAACAGTAGCCCTAGAATGAGGAAAAATCCTAACATCAGTAAAGCCGAACATTCTACATCCACAACCGTTTCAGCGGAAATAAACCCACGATATTCCAGCGTTAACTTTGGAAAACAAGATGAACCCAAAATGGAACTAAAAGTCGAAAAGAAATCATCGCTTCGTCGTAACGATAAAGACGCGTTAAAAAAGCGGCGCTTTAGCCAGCCAGTTCACGTGAAGTTGGATTGCACTCCAACTCCTGTTATCTCAACGTACAGGTCCTCAGAAATAATTAACGAGGGCATAGACCCTGATAATTCTATTGAGGTTGGAGCAAATCCTGTCAAACTAGAAGTAGACTTCTCCTAAACATAATTTACAGAGCAGTGACCTTTCTTTTCAAGAAATCTCTTCAAATAGGGGGCTGGAAGATTATATCAAACCAGTTACTGCCCCCCTAAAGAAACCATCACTATCTCACCGTAGTATCTCTACACAGAGTGAAGACGATATGTTTGAAAGTCTTTTTAACTTACGCCAAAGCGCGTGTTAAGCGCATGTTACAACGAACCATGGCATTTGGCAGAAGTTCAGAGGTCTTTGCCGAAAACTTACTGTTAGCAAGCAGTTCACGTTCTTCATCATGAGTGTTATTCTACTGAACATGATCTGCATGGGCCTTGAACATTACAATCAGGTATGCATTAAGTATTTTTCAAGATTATAGTGGTTTACAAGAAGTTGAGATCATAATAGGCAGATTTATTAGCAAGGAAAACATTAGCCTGATAAAACAGTCGACGTTTCGCGACGCCGCCACTTGTTTCCCAGTGAGATGAGTTGTCACTACCCCGATCTGGGTAGTGCTACTGATTGGTCGTTCCGCGAGAGAAATTTGCTTCAACCAATCAACCAATAATGTGTCTAGTTGTCTCAGTTTTCTGTGGTTTCTGGAGCGATTGAGAGCGATTCTAGTAAATTAAAGTTCCATTGCTTTCCTAAGATATATCCACTAAAGAGGACGCAACTTAATTAATGGCCCCTCTTAGTCACATAGAAACAAGTCAACAGGCAGAGAAGCTTAGGTAGGAAGTAGTTTTTGGTATTTTTGAATCGAAGTAGCAGTAATAGTTCTTTTCCACGGACGACCAAAATTATAAAATAGAGCACTCTAATTCATGCATGTCAGTGCAGTGGAAGCTAAGATTCTTTAGCTCTAGGATAAAGGGTCTTACTTGTGATCACAGACCCCTCCCTTATAATTTTGCTGTTACCATATTGTTGCCATGACGACCAAATTACAACAACCACAAAAGGCTGAAAAGAAGTCACATGGCTGTATTAATTTCCATAGAATTTGGGGTACTTGTGCTTTACCCATGATGTTTTCTATCGCAGCCGGATAGTCTAACTGTTGCCCTGGAGACCACAAACATAATTTTCGTATCCATTTTTGGCATTGAGATGATACTAAAGCTACTGGGAGATGGAGTTACTATGTATCTTAACAACGGACAAAATGTATTTGATGGATTAATTGTCATTGTAAGGTAGGAATGCTATGTCTCGAGAAGTTGATTTTAATCACTGCGCTACGAGATGGGTAATTAAATATTGATTTATTTCCCTTAATGCAAAGCCTCGCTGACTCAAGTACTGGTAACTTTAATTAAAAATAATGACAAAACTTGTCATTATCTTACTATCTATTACTATACATTGAACTCACTACCTGTTTTCTAGTTGGCTAAGAGCCTACAGCTAGTTTTGAAAACCAGCGCAACCTACAGATCTGTTAGCAGATAATTGACTAAGCTGTGGGTTTCGCGCCCAACGCATGATTTTTAATAACAATATCAATTCAGGTTGCTTGCGACTGTGTGTTTGTCGTTATTTTCTTCAAAACAATGTATAATAAAACAATTATTAGATTCGGTTTTTGTGATATCCTAAATAATTAAGGCCTCGGTAAGTGTTATCAGTCTCGGTCTTCGGCTCGGCTGATAACACTTACCTCGACCTTGATTATTTAGCAAATCACAAAAACCTCATCCAATAAATGATTGTTTATTATTGGTTTTCTCTGCTAAGTAATTGTTATCAAGATTTTGGCACTTACTTTGACTAGTTATTGATCATTGATTGGTTGAAGCTAGAGTAGTGATTTTCAGCTACTCATACCTTAAAATGTCACCTTTTTAATGTATTATAAAAATATCTGTACCACTATTTCAAATTTAAAATAATCACGAGCTAAATACCCACCTGGCAGGAGGTGAAACAGTTCAGTGTTGGTCCATAAAACCGTCCGCTTATTTTCTTTCAAGCCTTTAAACAGTAAATAATTTGATTAGTTGGATATTGACAAGCATGGCCGAGGAGTTGAACTCTTGATGACCGACAGCAACCCCTTAAAAGAGATGGTTGGAACCCAGATGACTCGGTTTAAATTCAAGGCCCTAAGCCGGCACCCTGTCATAATTTAATAACGCCACCATCTTCCTTTTAAATTTCAGTGTCTGCGAGATACTTCTTTCCAAAGGGAATTCCGCCCTTTCAGTGTTTCGTAGCATCAGACTTCTCCGTATTTTCAAACTTGTCAGACCAGTTCGATACCAGTTACTCGTGGTTATTAAAACCATGACAAGTGTGATGACCTTTTTCGGTCTGCTGTTTCTATTCATATTCGCCTTTGCAATCCTTGGTATGAATTTATTTGGTGGAAAATTTGAATTCAAGAACGCTGAAGGAGAGCTTGTCACCTCCAGGAGTAATTTTGATGACTTCCTTTGGGCAATGGTATCTGTGTTTCAGGTATGCTTCGGTTATCGTGTCAGGCATAATTTTTATCCATCAGGCCCCGGTTATTCAAAAGATGGATAGCGGTCTCCACCGGATAAATCACTATCTAGTGGATAAGTCTTAGGGAAACCAATTGTACTATCCACTGGATAGCGATTTATCCGATGGATAGCGTTAAATACCTTTTGAACAACTGGGGCCTGCGGTCAGTCCCCATCGAGCGTTAAGTTAAATGTTCGCTTGACTGATTGTGTAAATTTTACAACTTCTCCGTTGCTATCCTCTGCTGATTAGTAGGTACCACCAAACGCAAAAGTTTTATTTTTTGTCGATACTCCAATTTCTCTTAAGTTGACCGAAGTCTAGATAGCAAAAACGATTCATATATATTTAATTTTTTGAAAAATTTGGTGATCAATCTAACCTTGCATCAAAACCGTGAATTTTGCGTCACATAGATCCTTACCCAGGAGAACTGGAATCGAGTAATGTATGATGGCATGCGCAGTACAAACAAGTGGGCAGCGCTGTACTTTACGACCCTGATGGCTGTTGGGTATTATGTGTTGTTTAACCTACTCGTGACAATATTGGTGGAAGGATTCACAAACTCTGGGGTAAGCGTGCATGCCCTGGGTAATTTTCCAGGGTTCATTTATGTGCAATGCTTTAATTAACCTGTAAATGAAAATATGCCAAGTTAAAGCTCACAAAAAGGAACTTCTTAAGAACAACAACATAGGCTTAAACCTTCATCAGTTGGGGAAAAGGGTTGTGTTTGTAACTGAAAGGTTCAGGCGAGAAAATTTGTTAAGTTTCCTCAAGGATAGCAGAAACGAGAATGGACAATGATTATCAATTTGCGCCTTGTGCAACCAGTTCACTATTAAGAGAGGAAAACGTTTCTGCGCATTGTCATATTTATTTCGTCTTTACCGGTTCTGAACTGTTCTTTTTATCCTCTAGAAAGAAATTCTCCTTCTAAAGAATGAAAGAAAAATGGAAAATCCTGATTCTAATTCAGAGACGATTAACAAGCCCCATATAGTAATCTCTTATTGCGATTCAAACGAGTCTTGTCCCGTAAGCTGTTGTCAAGACGCCACGCCCGAATTTTGCGGTCACGGAGTACGCAACGCTCTAGGTATGTAGCATAAATTGGTAGGGCTAACAAAGAGCTTTTGAAAATTGTGCTAATATGTCTGTGGGTGTAGGTTGCAACTAAAAAAATGGAAAGAGAAATTTTGACGAACGAGGACCCTGCTCTGACAATAGGGTCTGCAAAGGTATTTTGGGATCCAGGATTTAACCAAAATGCGGTGCTGGATTCGAGAAAAGGAAAAATATCTTTACGGGAAGCGGGATCCTACAGCTACTCGGGAATTATGTTGGAAATTCGGGAAATAATAATACGCAGCAAACTAAGTGGGGTCTCCTTTCACACCAGGAACCGATTACGGCGGATGAAACTAAACTATAGTATGTCTTGTTAATTATTTTTTCATCGTTATTATTGTTATTCATTATTGTTTTTGGAAACAAAAAAGGAATTCGGGAAAGCGATGAAGAAAAGTGCGGGGTGTAGGATTTTCGTGAAGAAGGAGCGAGATTTCGGGGTCAGAACCCCGCCCCTTTCAGACCCTGTGACACAGGTAGAAATTCAACTTTCCTTATTAGAAAACAAATGATAAGAAACGTAAAGAAACAAACAAAAATTAATATTATAGTCAGTCTTCAACTAAAGGTTAAGTTTCATTTGCGTTAAATATCCCTTCTTGCAGGAACAACATTCCAGTTGAAGTCCAACTTTGCGACAAATCTAACCTTAGTAAATCTGGAACCCAAAGAAGGGACAAACAAAAAGCGAGTCGATGATTTGTCCCATCAACCACAAGACACCTCGCTGACATTACCACAGTTGAAGCGAATGCGACAGGCCTCGATGTCGATCATCAGACGAACAGGACACACGAACCAAAGGATAGCGGATCACGAAATCTCCGCCAATAATTTGGGCTTTGAAATGAACGATAATTTAGAAAAGGATCTTGACATTTGTGAAACGAAACGAAATGAAGAGGCTTTGTCAACGAGAACATTTGAATTCAAGCCAGAAATGGCTGATTCTCCCGTTATTAAAGCAAGCAATAGTGCGGGTATCGACCCGACTGAACGTCTGCGCAAGTCAGGGACGTCGCCCTCTCCCACTGGAATACAGTCATACCAAACAGGTTTCCACAACACCATTAGGGATGATGATATTTATCAACAGCGTGAAAGCTACGCTCCTGAAAGTAAGGTAATGCTAAGTTAAAAGAGCGATGTTTGACAATGGCATGTCAAAACAGATTCCTCGCCTACCCTGAGCAGAAGAACTATGGGCCGGTGGGGGGAATTCCTTAATTAGTCCCGGCATTTGATAAGGGTTTGCTACGCGTAACTGATTAAAACACCAAGTCAAGGTTTGATCAATATCGCAATAAAATTTCCCAAGAGAATTTCTGACAACCAACCTAACAAAATTTGCAGTCATTTGAGTGAAAATGCGTCAAAAAGCAGGTTTATTAAGCCCGAGAAGCTCCAAAATCACAGTAACGAAGGAAAAGGAAAGGAGAAGAAGAAAGAGCGAGGAGAAGAGAAAAAAGCAATGGTTGCACTCTTAGTTTTTATAATAGCTACCTTGACGATAGTTTTTGGCCGAAAAAAACTGTTGGACCCAAACGGTCCATTTGGCGGTAACATTATCAAAAATCCGGCTAGATATACACAGACACAGAAGATAGACCACCCACCGCGGTCTACACACCCTACTCGTTACGAACAGATTTTAGCATGAGCAAGGGATGTGATACGGGGCCTACGATTTATTGTCTAGGGGGCAAGAAGATTAGAACTCTAACCGTTTGCAGATGTCACTACAAAATAAACACTTCAATTTGTCCGGCCGGGATTTAAACCTGCGGCCCATCTCTCTGTAGACCATTGCCAACAGGCTGACAGTAGATCGTTGAACTGTACAAATTTTTTTAGTATTATTGAACAGCTTTTTTACCATGGCTTTAAAGATTTGATTTGCTACCGTTTCTACTTTTCTGCCAGGTTTCGTCGTTTTCTGCTTGCAGTCTGTGAACACAAATACTTTGACTACGTGGTTCTGTTGTTTATTCTAACAAGCTGCGTGACCCTGGCACTAGAAGAGCCGAAGATGAATCCAAAGGTAGAGGCTGAGAGATATATCTCAATTTGCTTTCAGAAGTCGTCTAGTTCACATGTCCCTATATTATATATAATTCCTGGCTTTTTACCATTTTATAGCAAAAATGATCACGTGTCAATCTCTTGTTTGTGTGCATGTGTAAAATTATATCTATGGCAGCAAAATTAGTTAAAAAATAAACCGATGAGGTCGGCTAATTTTGCCTTAAGTTCGCGGCAGACTTTGCTAGTCACTGATAGCTTCAATCGAAAAACTCAGCCTTTTTGGCTCCTTTTATATTCACAGAAAGGCCAAATAATTGACAGCGCGATGGTTGTGCTGACCGGAATTTTCAGTGTTGAAATGACTATGAAGGTAAATCGATCGTTCTTACTAAATGAATTGCTTTGATTTCGCTATTAGTAACAAACTGCTGCGTTCGACCTCCACTATGGTATACTGAAACTAAAACCATGCAAAATATTTTAAGCAGAGGATGATTCAGTAAGAACTTAGAGCACTGAAAGGTTTCATCTTTTTCAAGGTAGCTCAAGGTCCATATAACTTACTCAACAACCTACATTAATGCATGTATGCCTCTATTATTTTTTCAGTTTAATATTTATTGTGCACGATTTCATGCACCAGGCTCGAGCGCTTGCGGCTACAAAACATCCAATCCCATTGTTTCTTTAATTCTTCGTTCGACGCCTTTATATACGCGAATTACCCATTTTTATTATATAGACACGAGTTTTTTACTGGAAAATATGCCACTCGTAAAATTCATAAAAACTACATCCGGGACGCGAGTGGTTTATTTTCCATAATTTCACACGTGAGTTTATCGATGACGTAATTTCGGTAATTTCCCTCCAAAATTTGTAGGCGTCTTGCGTCCTTTGAATTTTGATTACACATTTTTCAAAGCTTTGCTTATATTTTGTCAATGTAGAGCCCTATTCAGCTCAGTGTTATTTCTCAAGATTATTGTAAACAATGTCTTATATCGCTGTACTGTAAATTTGAGACGTCACAATTACTTTTTGGCGAATAAAAATCTATTATTTTATCGATGTCTTTTTGTCTATATAATAAAAAGAACATTACACGCTGCGCTCGTTCGTAAAATATTGTTTTGCCACTCGAAAATAAAATTCATATCTTCGCGCCACCGTGTAATATCCTCTATATATCAATAGCAAATATTTTGGATAACCTTAAGTGGCCAAAATATGCGCCATGAATAAGTCTAAAAACTTTTTTATAGTTGACTTTTTGAGCTTTGAAAGAAGTATAAAGTGCTTATATGAATAAATTAACGTCACGAATGACGCTTTCAGTATTGCCACTCGCAATCACAAAATGAAGAAGACGAAGCGTCCTTCCTCTACTTGATTTGTACTAGATGAAATGATCGCCTGGGTACAAATCTGAAAACATATCTTTACAAGCCGAGCACCTTATTAATTCCATTGAAAAATGAGTTGTAAAGATAGGAAAACAGGGAACCTGTAGAGCGCTCCGTACAGTGATGGTAGAGATTACCTCTCACAAGTGATCATGACTGTTCATTACAGATTGTCGCTCATGGTCTTGTTATTGGTCCTGGATCTTACCTGAAGGACGGATGGAATGTTCTGGATGGGAGCCTTGTGTTGGTCTCCTGGATTGACGTCATCATTACCTACAGCACTGCTTCTGCGCCGGAAGTGCTTGGAGCCTTGAAAGTCTTCCGAGCATTGAGAACCCTTAGACCGTCGAGGTAGGTCTGCCAACCGACTCTTTTGTTTACATAAAGCGTCAATCAATCAATCAATCAATCTGCGGCAGGATTAGCTCAGTCGGCAGAGCACGTGACTTCAGAGCCGGAGGTCGCGGACCATTACTCAGGGTCTTAAAGTGCTACTACGACGAAAATTTTTGTTTTTGTTTCCGAGTTTTTTTAACATAAATCTTTTGTATATGTTCAAAATTATACAAATAGCGAAAAATTGGAACGATACTTGCGTACGGGGGCTGGAAATTTCCCACTGAAAAGTGCGTAAATACCGTCCGCCATTACAAAGTTCGCAAAGCAATAGCCCGCGAGATCTCCGAAAAGCGGTCGTGCGTTTGACCACGTGTTTATGCACTGTGACGTAGAAACATCAACCAAAAGATTCGCATTTGGGAAAAGTTTGTGAGTTTAGAGCCTTTTAACAAGACGTTTAAGATGTCATCTCCGTCGGATTCCTCTTCCTGCACATCTGAAAGTGATCTAGAAAGTTTTACAGTTGACGAAGTGATTGGGGAATTGTCTGAATTTGCGCCGTACGACGACAGTTGCGAACCCCTTGCTACCGAGGAAGAAGCCGCGGACTACAACGAAAGAGTTCATCGCGAAGAAGAAGAGGAACAACAGTTTCAACGAAGATATTCGGGAGAGGTGCCAGCGAATGAACGGTATGGTATTATCATTGAATCTGCTTAAACCACCACGTATTAGAAGTGGCTGCACTGGGCCTAAAAACGCGAGCTGGAAAGTCGTACACAACTGTTCGTGAGCAAAGCAACAAGTGATGATGAGTAAGTTTGGGTATTGTTGACTTTGTATCGGAACGATCGAACCTTACATAACATTGAATAATTGATACATCTAAGCTTATCGCCGTGGACTGATCTCATAGAATCACATTTTTTATTTTCTAAATGGCTTTATTGCCCCAACTGCTTATTTTTAAAAGGAGTATTTATTTATCTCCATCCAATCCGTCCTTGAATTAACAGTGATCTCATTTCTCTAACTAGATTCCTGAGGTCTGTGGCCTATCGCCAATTTACAAGACTGCTGTGGAGTTATATTGGTAGTTCCAGGCGATACCCCTTGCCCTGTTGTGCCTACAATAAAATCAGGAAACAATTTCCGAGTCAAAATGGCCATTATCATGGATTTGAAGATGAAGAAAATGAATAGTAAATGCACTGTTTGTTCTTGAAGAGTGTCATGTATGCCATTGGGGCCAAGAAGGACCTACAGTAGTTGCTTGAATACTTTTCCGTAAGCACTTAATTTTATGGGCCAAACTTCAGAATTCTCAGCCACTTACTCGCTTTTTGTTGAATGACAAACTTGCCCACTGTGTGAAGCCCTGTCCTTCTAGCGTTCAGTTAAACTCAAGTTTAGTGGCTGGGAATTCTGATGTTGCTCCAATTTTCATGTACACAAGTAATAAAAATTAAATAGAATTCAGCCTGAATTTAATTACAGTTTTAATGTATCGCTTCTTTCTTTTCACACGGCTCACAGAGCACTGCAAAACTTAATAGCAGGTTACCTGCTGGAAACTTTCCTAGCAGGTCTGGTTGACTCTTCCAGACTTTTGTCTGGCAACAGTTTCTGCAGAAACTTTCTACGGTTAACAAGATACCTGTCTGTGATACAGAAAGTTTGGGTTTTGAAAAGAAGCACAAGTGGCAGAACTGAAACAAAAGAAGAAGTTTGGAAAGGAAAACAATTTCCTTCGGTTCCTCTCGGAATGTTTTTTCCTTGTAGATCCAACCTGTAAAAAATGATTGAAAGGAAATACTCATTTAATCATAGCATCTGAAATAATAAA